CTTACCATTTGTAAATAAGCTTTTATTGTAGGCATTGCCTAGCAGCACCACTGTATTTAACTGTGTGCTGGGCCATGAGGGCAGTGAGATGTGTTATCCTTTTGGTTTATAGTTCTCTAGACCAGAGGAGGAGGCTCTGGATGGATCAGAACATACCACCATCTCCCACACACCCCCAACTTTGAGATGAACGCCCTCCCAGGATGGGACTTCGGGTTGTCTCTCTTGAAGTTTGTGTGGGGTATACCCAGAGACAAGAGGAAGAATAAAACAGACCCTTGGTGACCCTATAGGCCAAACTTGAGCAAACCATTCGCAGCTGGTCCCCAGATCTGTTGGCGCTTCCTCCTAAGGGTACAATAAGGTGGTGGCTATTGGCAGCCCAAAAACTCAGCTGTGGCCCCAAGATTGAGCTCCAGGTGTGGAATGCAATGGGAGCTATGCGCACATCTCCAGGAATGACCCGTGGACGCTCCTGCTCCTGGCTATGCTTATTCCCACTTCTTGAGAAGTCCCATACTAAAGATGGCACAGCAACAGGATGGAAGGAGACCAGGCCCCGAGTGAACACTGGGAGATGCCCACCAATCAGGAGCACTTAATAATTCATGGGAAAGAGACACAGAGCTCTGTATTAAGCCACAGAGGTCATGGAAAGTCCGTTACAGCAACTAGGGTGACTTTGGAAGCTTCTGGGAATCTGAACACATGCATTTGTGTCTGAGCAAACGTGTGTGTTCATGAACTGAAGCCTACATGTGCCTCTGAGGGTCTCGTCTATGGGTGGGCAACACTGAGGAGGGATGTACATGGTTTAGAGCATGGGGTTGCTGTTCATTTGCACATATGTGGGTCCATGTGTGCCTGAAGGTTTGTGTTCCCATGTTCCTAGGCATGTACGCATGTATCTACATGAAACTTGGAGACTAAATATGTGGATTTTGCCCTTAGGATCTCAATGGCCGTGAGCACCCACTTGAGAGTGAACATACTGGCAGACACTATTCAATACTGGGTCTGAGTATGTGCATGCCCTATAGGTCTGCAGGTACACGTGTGTCCTTCTATGTGCCACTGTATGGATGCTGCTGAGCACACAGGTACACCTGTGCCTGTGAGCATTGTATGGGCCATTGTAGGCTGGAGTTTGCATGTGCATTTCACACATGTACCTTTGTGCATGCTTTAGTATGCATGCTTCTGTATGAATCGACATGTGTTTCATAGTGAATGTATATACCTATACACTGCCATGAAACTGAGTATATATATATATGTATGTATGCCTCAAGGGATCTGATACAGGAGTGTGTGTGTGTATGTGAGTGTGCATGTATGCATGAGCCTCCATAGCAAAGAGTTAGGCATGCCTCTGAGGGTCCCCTCTCATGACAACAGTATGGAAGGGGTGCAGGTGCAGGCCCAGGAGACTGAGAAAATGTGTGGACCCCTGGGGCCAGCACACAGCCTCCCTCAGAGAACATGCACAGGTGCACCTCAGCCACAGAGACCCCTCTGTGGGTCAGTGAGTACGTCCTTCAGCAGATGGATGTGTCCTGGTGAGTACACAGGGACAGAGATATCACACCTGTGCACATAGCCGTAAGTGCACTTCTGTGAATATAAGCATGTGCACATTTCGGGGTATGAATGCATCGTGTGTATGCCTGATTATCATATGGTGTCTGTGTAACATTTAAGCATCTGAAATTCTGAGGGAATGTGTGGGATCCCAGGTCTGTACATATATGTGAGGAAGTATTGCATAGGTGGGTCTGTCCACAGATGTGTCCCTTTCTGGGCTGAGCACACATGGATAAGTCTGTGAGTCCAATAACAGGTGAGTGTGCGCACAAAGATCTGAACACACACGTGTGCCCCTGATGTCTGATATATTTGGAGCTTTATGCCTCTGAACATGTATGTGTGCATCCACAGGTATGAGCCAAGCAGATGGGCAGCTGTGAGTCTGCACATCTCTGGGTAATCTAGGAGCCCTAAGCATGTACATGCAACACTGATACACAGCATGCCTTCATGGGTATGTCTTTGTGTTTCTCTGGGCCTCACAGGAGTGTACACAGGTTTCAGGCATCTGAGCATGCATGTGACTCTGGGTCTAAGCACCTGGGTACCTCTGTTGATCTAGGTGTGAATGGCATGTGCTCTTCTAGGTTTGAACGTGTGTTTGTACGTGTGAGCTTCTAGGCAGTTTGTGAGTGTGTATGCCTGGGTGTGTCCATTTGTGAGCCCCTGGTTGGATTACGTGTGTGTGCATTTGGATGTGTACCTATGTGGGTCTAAGCCTGTGTGTTATTCCTGTGCATCTCAGGGGTGCAAAGTCAGAGTCCTCCAGGGGCCAGCCTAGAAATACAATGTGTGGGCCAGGACAGCTGGGACAGCAGGGAGGTGTGCCACATTATGGACTGCAGGTGCCTGTTCCTTAGAGGCACTCCCACTCGGGAGGATTCTAACAATGCTTTGTTTTCCTGGGCTAACATAACATTCTGGAAATACTGAGCAGGGAGGTAGAAAGGGCCTGGAGTCTGTGGAGGAGCTTGAGTTAGGGGAAAGGGTAGCAAGGTAAGCGGACCAGGGAAGATCCTAGAGCCCACACTCATGCCCAGTAATGAAGATCTGGATGTGAGACCAGACACCCTAGGGTCAGGCTCTGGGCAGCCTCTGTCCCTGGGCTTCCTCCACCTCTGCTAGGGGCCTGGTGCTCTACTAGAGAAAGCTTCCTTACTCTGGGGTCCCAAAGCTGGGATGGGAGACTGGGGAAGCTGGGATGAGAGGGATAGGAGAACATGGTTCAGGCCAGCCTGGGTACGTGGAGTCATCTTGGTCTTTTTCTGGCCTCCCACGGGGATGACGAGGACATGAGACATTTCAGAGTGATGTCTGTAGGAGAGCTGTGGATGCCAGTGGGTAGCTCTGGGGGCTCAGTGACCCACTCTGCCCTGCCTCCAGGCTTTATTTTCAAAGCATGAAAGTCAGCCACCAGCCCTCCCTATCCCCAGCTCCCCCTCCACCCTACTGTCTTCCCCTCACATAGAGGCTCTTTTTATGGGAGGACTGCACAGTGGTCAGTGATCTCTAGGAGCCCTGACTGGAGGGGCAGTTGACCCACCCGCTTCAGGTTCACCATACCCTCTTGTCCTAACAAAGCTCAGGCTATGAGTGCACACTGCAGGTCATGCCAAGGCCTCTGTATAGATGCTTGGCCAGGATACTAGAGCCTCCCAGTGGGGCCGTGGTATACCCTGGTGTGTGCTGCACATCTGAGTCCAGGGATAGCAGCGATCCCTGTCATCACAGAGTTCACATCCCAGAGTGTGAGGCCAAGCAGTGCCCTTTCTCCATGATCCACAGAGTCTGTGGTCCCCATAATCCCAACCCAAAGGCCACTCCACACATCCACTTATGTCAAGCTTGGCTGGCGGCTCTGTCAGCCTCTAGGAACCCCAGCAAGTGCCTAGTGCTTGCAGGGGTGAGGCAGGGCTGAGGGGGTGCCGTGTGCAGACTGCCACATGCCCAGAGCATCTCAAGGCAATGGTGGGGCTGGAGTGCAAAGAGATGGCGGCGGAGCTCCCAGCAGAGGGGCCTCCTACAGTGGAGGGTATCTGTTCCTGGAAGTACAGGCTCTGGGCTGTGGACAGGGAGACCTTTCCAGCCCAGCATCTGGCAGCTCCCACAAGTGTCCCTTGGCTTAGGACCCTGAGAACAACCCCTCTAAGCTCTGGTCTACTAGGGGGTGTGGGGACTTCAGCCTCTCGGAATAGGGTCCTGCATCTTGGTCTGGGAACCTGAGCATTGGCCCCAAGGCTCCACGGTCCATGCTTCCATCCTATTTCCTTCCAGCTCTACCCACACTCCATCCAGGGTAGCAGCCCATCCTGTCTGACTGTCCCTGCTGGTGCTGGCAGACCCCTAGATCCCTACTACCTCAGGCCAGATTCATAGCCCTTCCCCATCCCCAAATGCACTTGTCCCAACCCCAAGCCTGTTGATACCCACAGCCCGGTGCCACCGTGGCAGGGTAATAAGAAATCTCTGGAAAGTCAAGTTAGAGATGTGGGTGGCCTCTCTGCTCCCATGAGTTTATCCAGGCTGCCACCAAGGCCTGTGCTCTCCCACTGGCCACATCCAGTCCATCTCTCCAGTCCCACTTTCAGCCTTCAGTGCCAGCCTCCTACTGCTCCTCTCTGCCACTGCCAACCTGCTCAGATGAGCATCCTGGCACCCACGTGCCACCTCACTCGGGCGCTCTCAGCCAGCATGCAAGGCTCACCCCCAACTCACCCAGCTACCCTCTGCAGCTGTAGCATCAGCTCGAGCTGGCAACATTAAGCAGAGCCCCCCACCACCTAGGAAGTCCTCTTCCCACCCCCAGCCTGCTCCCCTATAGTAGCTCCCCGGGAAACCCCATGTCTGGCCTAGGGGGCACCTCCACCCAGAGCACTGAGGCAGAGCTTCCATGTGGCAACAGCCCTCCTTGGCCTGGCACCTTGTCAGAGACTCCATCCTGGGGAGCTTTCAGAACACCAGACACACCCCTGAGGCAGAATGAGGAGCCAATAGAGACCCAGTGAGTAGCCAAGACAGCACCAGGCTGTGAGGCTGATGGGAGTTACAGTTCTGAACCTGAGAGCTGATGGAAGTTGTAGTTCCCCACCCTCCACCCCAGGACTCATGGGAGCTGCAGTTCCTCATCTTTCTATGGAAACATCTCCTTGTTTCCTCCCATCTACCCTTGGCTCTCCACCCCAGGAGCCCAGGCTAAGGACCTCACTATCTTCAAGGGATGGGGCACCAAAAGGCACCTTGCCGGAAGGGTATGTAAGGGGTCCTGGGGCCTGCTAGGAAGGGAGGGGACTATCAGAGAGAGCTAAGGCCTTCAGCACACCCTGGGCTGGGGCCAGGTGGCAGGGACAGTCGCCCCCCTCCCAGCAGCATCGTCGCAGGGGCCCGGGGGCAGGGGAGGGGGGAAAGGCACTCACCTGTACTAGGCTCACACTCCTCCAAGTCTTCATCATCACTTGGACACTCAGCTGAGGCCACCAGGAGGTCATCTGTGTTCTGGGGGTAGCAAGAGGAGGAGTGGGGAAAGAGAGGGTTCCAGGTGGCTGAGCAGGTCCCACAGCTGCACCCCAAGAAGTAGGATAGCACAGGAGACATCAGCTCTCATCACTTGCTGATTGACTCTGGCCCTTGCAATTTCCTGTGCTAAGAGATACTAAAAGAGGTGCCAGTACTGTGGTCCCTGCAGCCCCCAAAGATCAGACAGTGCATGTTGAACCCATTATACTCAAAAGTAGAGGGAAAGGATGCCAGATCTGGGCTATAGGGTGGGTGTCAGGGTCCAGGATACCTGGGGCAGGGACAGATATGTGGAGGAGGGCAGACACAGGGGGACCTTAGAAAGGCAGAGGGGGACAAGGCTTAGAGGGGTTTCCCAGCTCCAGCTTCTCCATCCCGTTCCCTCTCATCTTTCCCAACCCCCTTCCAGAGAGAACCAGGGCTGCACACAATAATTAGGGCTGTGGTTCCCATGGCAACAGGAGTCGACTTGTCAGCATTTTCTCTCCTCCTGATTGCAAAGAAAGAGGATCCCTGAGATGAGTGAGCGTGAGGAAGGGGATCGGGGGAGTTAGGAAAGAGACCCGAGGAGGGACACCCGAAGTCCAAAGCAGAAGGAAGCCTGAGAGACTGAAGATGAAGGCAGGCAGCCAGGCTGGGGGGTCAAGGACTCCATGGTGATAAGGTCTCATCCTGCCTGCTCCCCAGGCCCATCTTCAGACCCCACATCCTTCACCCAAGGGCAAAGTCATGGACTCCTCTTCCCTTCGGCACCCTCTGTCTCTCTTTTCCACCCACCCCAAAATCACGCTGGAGTCCTTACTTTCTTTCCCACATGGCTGGTCTGCCTCCCCTCTCCTAGTGAGATTAGACGACCCTCCTGTGATTGGAGGGCATGGGTGGAGCAAGTGGCCAGCCTGGGACAGCCCAGGCCTTCTTCTCTGGGCTCCCAAGGGGAAAGGCCCCTGGGCATTTGGATCTCCCAGATTTCTGGATGGTGAGGACAGAGAGAGAAGTGGATAGGTTGGTCGGTCTCTCCCCCCTGGCTAACCCAGCCCCAGGCACCCTGTAGGACAGATTAGCTGGAAAGGAGGGCCTGGAACCCACTGAGCCCAGTCCTAAGGGAAGCTGAATACCGACTACTGGTGGGGGTCGAACACATCCTCACAGCCTTACCCCCATTCCCCAGGGCCTGCAGGCCCAACAGCCAAGGCAGTGGCATATGGGGAAGGGAGACAGAAGCCCTGTGGGGCAGAGGATGGCTAAGCCAGGTTTGTACCTGTGCAGCAGATACAAACACTCCACCAGTAATCAGCACAAGCATGGGTGGCAATAATTAGGGAATTCAGCTCCTGGTGCGGCCCCACCCTGGACTTCCATCCTTTGGGTCTGACCAGACCCAGGAGCCCCTGAGCAGGTAGGTGAGTACAGGGAAGGGTAAAGCACAGGGAGCCGTTTGCACCAGCACCTCACGCACAGGTGGACACTGAGGCCTGCCAAGTGATGGTCCTTGCTCAAGGTCAAATGGAGAGGATTAGGAAGGCGAGAGACCTAGAGCCAGAGCAGCCCCCACAGCAGGGACCCCAGCAAAACAGAGAGGCTTTCACTCCAGTGTGTCACCTCTGCCCAATGTGCTGACATCAGAGCTCCCCCCTTTCCACTCGCTGCCCACCCAGCTCCGCATGGCCGCCTTCTTCACTCTTTCCTCCATCCTTCCCTTCTCCTGGTTGAGGCAAGTGGGCTTGTCCAGTCACCTGCCACTCTCACAGTGACGATGTCCTTGATCACCATGTGAAGGCCACTTCCTGAGAGGGGACCTTGCTTCACGCTCCCCCCCACACACACACACCAACCAAACCATCACCATGAGAGCAAAGCCAGGAAGCACTGCTTCCAGGACCCCTTCCCCTCTCAGGCCCTTTGGACCTTCATCCAGAGCCAGATGGGGCCTCACCTGGGTGGTGCTGTCCCTCAGTGTGGGGGAGCGGCCCCGGCGTGTGGTGGTGGTAGCCATGGTAGTGGTGGTCTCCATGATGGTGGTAGCCATGTCGGCCAGCAGAGTGGTGGCAGTGGTCTCCGCACTGAGCAGCACGGACGGCCCCTCCCCCACCAGGCGCAGGTGGCCTTCAGTCCGCACATTGGGGTCGCTCTCGGCGGCCAGCGCCAGTACCTTGAGCCCATTGTAGTAGAGGCCGGACACCTGGCCCTGGAAGGGGCGGCCCTGATCCCGGCCCCCTATCTTGATGGCAGCCTGGCTGTTGAAGATGGTCAGCTGGCGTCCTGAGAGAGTGGGGATAGGGTGGGAGAGGCAGAAAGAGGAGAGGCAGGCAGTTGGGGGGGGGTTGCCAGGAAGGGATGGGAGAGTGGGGGAAGCCAGGAGGAAGCCAGTATGTGGATGGGGGAGGGATGAGGAAGAGGCAGACAACCAAAGGGAAGATCCTTGTCAACCAGAGCCCCTAGCCCAGCCAGGCAGGACCCCCACAGCAGAGGGTCCCCAGGGCACGCATGGGCTGGGAAAGGGAGCCCGGTCACCCCCTGTCCCCACCATGCACATGCCTGTCCACCTGCACCTGTCCCCCTCTCTGGTCCCATGCCAGGGCCATCACCCCACTTCCTCATCTTCCAATTCTGTCCCCATCTTCTCTCTCTGCTTTCCCAAACACCCCACCCAGTCAGTGTACAGCCCGGAGCCATGGTGCCCTCCAAAGCAGCAGACAGTAGAGACAGCCAAGGAGTCAGTGTGAGCTGAGGAGGAGGTGATGAGGGACAGACAGTGTGGGCCTGCTCCGGGCCCCACCCACAAGCGCCCTGTGGTGGCTGCCCAGGCTCACCTAGGCCTCCTGCCCTTCTGAGGCCCAGCCACTGAGGCCCAGCCACTGCCCTGGGAGCAGGCCCTAGTGAGCAGAGTCCTTCTCCCTAGCCTGGACATCCAAGCCCCCATATGGAAAACGTTAAAGGGACCTTGCTTCACTCACTGACAGCCAAAATAACCGCTCCAGCTCCAATGTGGCCCCGCACTCAGTGTTACACTTCAGAAGGGCCCTAAGTGGGGCCTGGCTGCTCGCTTTGGTTTTAGTGGATCTGGGGGTCGGTTTAACCCTCTGAGTTTGTTGTTTTGGTTTGGTTTTTTTAGAAAAGATATTTATTATGTTTAAGTTTAGATTTAATTTTGTTTTTGGTGTTATTGGGGAGGGGGCAGATGGATTACTACTTTGCCCCCTTATCCCCGGGACCTTCAGCTGCTGGCTCTGAGGGGTTTTAAGACCTGGCTTAGCCCTTGTTAGCCTCTGGTTAGTGCCTCGTTAGAGATCTGGTTTAGAGTTAGGTGCCTATGAGCCCTGCCCCCCAAACCTGGGCTGAGACAGTCCAACATGTGAAACTCGCACTCTTTGGAAACATGGGCTCTCTGGGAACCCCCCCCAAAAAGTCTGTCTGACCAATGATAGGCCACTAGTGTGTCTCCTCAGCCCCCTTGCCCAGTCTCTCCTCCTTTAGCACCCTCCTACTTCTGGTTTAGGTAAAGACAGCCTCTCCAACAGCCATGTTTCTGTATTCATGGCAGAGCCCATCCAACAGAGGCAGGGGACTGTGGCTGGTGGCAGGCCTGAGCTAAGCCCCAGAGAACCACCGTGTCCAAGTCTTTTCCCATACATAAGAGTTATAAGAAAAATAAAGGACGGACCTAGTGGTCAAATGAGTTCACAATTAAAAGGTTCCTTTCTCCAAAGCCTTCTCAGAGCCCTTAAGAAACTAATGTATACACGTGTGTCTCCAGAGAGGAACAGTATTCAGCATGCCCCGGACCCATTAGACCACAGATCTCCTCACTGGGAAACATCCAGCCTGTGGAACTGCTTCTAGGGACACGTTTTGGAACTAGAAAATGGAGCTATTCTAAAATTATTTACTGGGCACCTACTATATGCTAGGGACTGACAAGACGTCCCTCTAAGACACCCGTCCTGTTCTAGACTTTGCCCCTCCTCTTTCATCTCGTCCTGCGCTGGGCGGAGCGAGGCAAGGGTATGTACTGGCCCAAAGGTCACGCTGCTCTCTGAGAATCCCAATCTGCCATTTTCTAGAACGGTAAATATAGGCATGAAGAGATGTGGACACCACTGGTGAAGGACAAAGGTGCTCTTCCCTTGTCTGGACCCCAAGTCCTCCTGTCCCCCTAACAGCTTTCCCGACGTAACCCCTCCTACCCCGGGGTGGGGGGGTCACATGTTGTCCCAGCCTCAGCCCAGGCTGTTCCCTTGACCTCTCTGATTCTGGGAGGGGGAGGTGGGTACTAGAAAGGATGCCACAGCCTCTGTGGCCCGTACCCCCACCTGCCATGAACTCCTCAAAGGGTTAAAGTTCGCCCCGCTGGAGAGAGCAGCTCAGTGTGGCTGGGGCCTGTAGGTTTTAGTGATGTCCGTTACAGTCCCTTTAACTTTTTGTTGTGTATTTATCACATCTGGTTATCAGCGTGTTTAGGCCCCATGGGTGCTGGGGCTGGACGTTACATTGGGGGATTTTATTGGGGAAAGCCCCAGTGGATATTTAAAGCACAGTTATCAGCTGGTTAAGTGGGGGTTTAACAGTTCTGCTCCCCCCTAGAGTTTAGCCTTAAAGGTACAGAGCTCGCCCCTCCTCCAATGGGAATGAGATGGCTTTGTCCTTGGCCCCCGACTTCCCCTGGTGACAAGCCTTCTCCCTCTCATCCAGCAGCACATCCCCTGCCACATAAGGGCCTCTGAGGCACACACTCTATCTTCCTCATCAGCCCACCTAGCAGAAATCCCTAAGGGACCACTGCCCTCCTTATCTCCCTTAGTCTCCTGGAGAACAACGCCTTGGGGGTCTTTCCAGTAGGATCTGAGACCCCGGCTCTTCCTTTCCCCTCAGATGGCTCTTCTGAGCCCTCCTTCACTGGATCAGCCCTTCATGTTCAGCACTCCCAAACTTATCCTTCCTACCCCTTGGCCCTTTACAAAGCCCCTGAGGTGGATTTTTCCAAAGGGACCCAACCTGTGTGTTCACTTTCTACCTGCTGTGTCCTCACTCAGCAAGAGTTCAGGAATTTCCATTTTCAGGGGTCTCAGGGATTACCCTAGGAGGACCCCAGGTTTTCTCTCCTAGAAAAATTCCAGTACCACCGCCAAACCACCTCCCTGAAACACACAGACTTTGACTGCATTTTGGGGGAAGGGAGCATCCTGCCCGGACAAGTGTCCCTCTACTTAGGACTGGGCATGTCGAAGGCATGGAGGGGGGAAGAGAGAGCTCTGCACCTTTAAGATAGTGTTTTTAAAGTTAGTTAGTTAATTAATTAATTAATTAATTCTGGTTAATTACCTTTGTCGAGCAGCCACTCATCTACTACTCGACCAAGCCGGTAGGGGATTCTCTGTCTAGCAATCGCCAGGCGCTCGTTATCAAAGTTTCCTTGGAAAAGTTTAGAAAGACAGTAGGTTTCTCAGGTAGCGTAGTTCAAAGGAGTTAGAAAAGTAATTATGCATTTCTCAGGAGACCCAGAGTAAGCAGCCACATCCAACAGAAAGAGGGAGAGGGGGAAGGAGGTGAGAACAGAAGCGTGAGTCCCTCTTCCCAGGGGCCCCCTCCCTAGGCTCCATCCAGAGCCCACCCCACCCTTGGGGGGAGGGTGAGAGTAGCCCAAAGAAGAGGGAAAAAGAAGAAAAGCAAAGGAGGAATATAAAGAAAAAACGCAGCTGGAAGGTCAAAGGTCAGAGGTTAAACAGGTTTATCTAGTCAAGCTGTTGAGGTTGAGGCCCACTTCCTTCACCATCCCAAAGAGGGGTGGTGGGGTGGGGATGGGGCATTTAGCAAGTTTAAGTTAGGGGGGGCCCAGCTGGTTACTGCGTTTAGAGGGTGGTTTAGAAGTGGAGGGGTGCGTTAGGCGGGGTTTATGCGGCATTTAAGGGGATCACCCGGCACACTCATTTAACAGTGAGATTTAAATCACTTCTTCAAGTCATTGTCAACTCCCTTTACCTTCCATGCTCAACTCTCAGCTGCACCATCACCAGTTCCACTTCCCTCCACATCGCGTGCCCACCACACCCTTCCACCTTATCCTGGGCTCCCTCACCTGGACCACCTCACAGTTCTCCCTAAAAGCTGCATCTGTAGGCTCACCTGGTCCTGGCTCCCTCTATACCTGACTCCACTACTGAGGAGGGCTGGGGATGCCACAGGGGAGGGGGCAAAAGTAGCATGGACAAAATGGGAGGGGGGTGTTTAAACTCCCTCCTACCCTTACTTGTTTGCCCAGAGACCAGGGCCTGGACCCGCCTGTGTACACCTCCCATGAACCTCCAGGAACACCTCCATGAACACATACCTGTGTTCACGTATGCATGGATGGGACTGCTAGGTGCTTATGAGGCCACAAGACTCTGCCTTCCTGACAGACTCTGAACCTCAAAGCTCATGCCTGTTGTGGGAACTGGAGCCTCCACCCAGATCTCCCTTCTCTCCATAGCTCCCATCTCCTCTCCTGCAGGCACCAGGCCTCCTCTGCCCCCTGCTGTCTTTGCCTTGCTCTCTTCTCCATCCCAGCTCTGCTTCTAGATACCCAGCCAGGTTCTGTACCTTTCAGCCCTTAGAACCCAGCTTGGCTCCACTCCTCTCCCTCATCCAAAGGTGCTACCAGCCCCTCAGTCCTCCTTCAGACTCCATCCCCCAGTGAATCCCACCCCTCTTCTCCATCCTTGGCTGCCCATCTGGATACCACCTGTTCTTCCTCCACTCCCAAGCTCAAGTTCCTGAAACAAGGAAGCCAGGCATTGGTTTCAAATCCTGTGCCCTGGCCAAATTAATCTCTGTAGCTCTCAGTTTTGTGTTCGGTCAACTGTGAACAAGAGACCCACTCTAGAGGGATGACTAGACTATTGTACTATATTTCAATCTGTATGTATTCAGAAAAAGTGTCCACAGTGACAAATGACAATGGCAGTTGTCAACTTGATGCCAGCTATGTCACACCTCCATCATCTCACTTAGGTAGGACCACATGAAAACCTTAACTCTCTCTCTCCTCTCTCCCTCCCTCATTCTCATTATCTTTGTGTGTGTGTGTGTGTGTGTGTGTGTGTGTGTGTGTGTGTGTGTTACATAGGGGAACATGCCCACCTACGTGGAAAGGATCTTGTCATTTGTCATTATGCCTTCAGTGTCTCTCCATGAACTGAACCCCCTCTGCTACAGTGGATAGGGAAGCTGCCCACGGTTCAGGGCATGCTGGGGGCTAGGGCATTCCCTCCTGTCTACACTAAATAGATGCACTACCTAGAGAGCCAGACCTGGGGCTACCCATACGTGTTGCCCAGGAGCATATACACCTATGCTCACATGGGCATGCAGGATGCCCCTTTACCCCCTGCCTTCCCTACTGATTCAGAAAGGCTAAATGGCTTGTTCCAGATCACACAGTTTGTCGGTAGGAGGCCGAGGATTAAATCCCAGTTCTGCAAAGTTGGAATCCGCCAGATGTGTCTCTATGTTCTTTAGGAGTCACAAGTGGGGGTCCACACCCACTATTGCTATGGTCCACTGCTGTTGCTCAGGCATCTCCCTCACAAAGTACACAAGCAGCAACCAAGCCCTCAGGTTACCCAGATTCACAGGCAAGGGGCACCACAAAGCCCTTCCCTATACCTAGCTAGGGTTCTGGTAGAGGACAGCAGTCATCACCCCTCCCACCTGGCCTCTGGTCAGCTGAGATAAAAGTCTGGGCATAAGTCTTGGCTGGGCATGGTGACCCTCTCCTGCCCTATCCAGCACAGGCCGATGTTGTCATTACTACAAATACTGTCCTGGGCCTGAGACAGAGTGAACTCTGATGTCCCAGGGTAGTCACCCCCCTACAGTCCCCGCTGCCAAAATCTGCTGGTGGCAAGGGACTGGGGCAGGCGGTTGGTTGGGCGGAACACCAACAGACAGTGTGGAAGAGCTGGTGTGCTGACTCCAGACACGACCAGGCTTTGGTGTAGACTAACATCTATCTGCAGAGCTGCTTTCTCATGTTTCCTTCTGACTTTCTGAGGTCTAGGGTCATCTGTGTGTCCGGTTGATCTGAAGTTATGTCAGCCTGTTTATTGTGTGGAGCTCTTATCTCAGGGGCTTCCCAGAAATGTTTGGCTGCAAGGTGCATGACAGTGAAACCTGTACTTTTTTTTCCCTGAGGGTTTGAAGGTTGTCCTGCCTGTGCTCCTCTTGGGCAGCCTCTGCCTGCACTCAGCTGTTGCTCTGGTTGGGGTGGAGAGAGGATGGAGAGGTGGGGGGTAGTCACAGGTGACCTCATGCTCCTCTGTTGGAACCTGTGTGACAAGCATCATCACCAGCCTGCATCCACCAGCTCTGTCTACCTCTTCTGTCCCTGGCTGAGTCTGTGTCAGTGTCTCCACATCTCCTTCTGCATCAATCCTGGAGCTGCCTCCATCTCTGCAGATGTCTCAGTGACTATTTCCAGATTCTCCACCACTCCTCTGGTTTCCTCTCACCCGGAGGCACCCTCCTGAGCTTCCCCTGTGCACCTCAGACCTCAACTTGTCCTTGACCACCACAACTGCACCCTTTGGAACCGAGGCACCCACATCCCTCTCATCTCTGGGTCCCCAGGCCAAGCCCAAGCTCTGGTACCTGGCAGGTTGTGTGTGAAGGTTGTTGAAAGCATTTGACTCTCCTTGAGACTCTCCCTCCCTTTCACCATGCCCCTTACTCCTTGAGACACGGGGGTCCCTTCTCTCTGGGTCTTGGAGGGTATTTCTCCTGTATCTACAAAGGCTAATATGGGTCCTTGACTCTGGTTCCTTGGCTGGTTCTGGTTTTAGGAACAGCCCTGCCTCCCGCCAACGTGTTTTATTTGACTTCTGGACCATCTATCCTAGGTCATTTCCACCTTGCCCCTCCTTTCTGAATTCATCCCTTCTTCAGTGGCGTCGGACTTCCTAGTTCTCCCGTCTCCTCCTCTCTCCCCATCCCCAAACTGGATCCTGGCCTTACACCCTCCTCCACCAGACTTTTAGCCACACCCACACCCTGATCCATCCCTCCTTTTCAGTAGCCACGCCTCCCGCAGTCAGCCGCTTCCACTCAGCCACGCCCCACAGCGCTCCAATCACAGGCGGCCAGCTCTGGCTAGGAGCAGTCCTACCAGATGCCACCAGGCCCCATCCTGCCACACCCTGTCCCAGCTGCACCTCCTGCAGGCCTGTGCCACCTACCTGCCGGGTACCGCTCGTTGACCGGCCAGCTGTCCACCTGTAGGGTGGCGTTGCCGCCGCTGCGAGTAAAGCGCACCACGTGGTATTTGCCGTCGCTCACAATAGCATTGGGCTCGTCGATGGTAATGTCGTCCGTGCCCACATTAAAAATCACCCCAACAGTGCCCTGGTCCTGCGGACAGGGAGGTGGAGGTCAGCAACGAGGAACTCATTCCTATGGAACGCCACCGGGGTCCCCCTGGCTCTGCAGCCTTTTACAGGTTTTATAAGGCACCTCTCCAGGCCTCACCCACCCAAAGAGGTGGGCATCTTTGCCGCCTATGTATGCAGGCTAGGGAGTGCCCTGAGGCTCAGAGGTTGAGGATGGCCACTGTAGGCTGTAGAGCCACCACCTGGTCTCTCTTGCCTTGAGGTCCATCTAGAATATTGCATAAATGGTTACAGAGTACACATATGCTTTGCAAGGGCCCCAGAGTCCATGTGGGGATGACTGCAACCAGACTGGGTCTTGAAGGTGGAGGTCCACGGCCTCAAAGGACAGCCTGACCCCCCTACCCCAGCCTCATTCCACCTTCTAGTTCTGCACAGCCTCTCAAGCCTGACCTCTGCAGCTGGAGGGGTGACCTCTTGAAGTTTAGAGGTGATAGGAAAGGGAAGAGACAAGGATTGTGGAACACCATCAGACTTACTGAGGACCTTGGGGTGTTGGTTATGAAAAGTAGGGGAATAGGGAAGGACAGGCCGAAGGCAGGTAAGGACTAAGGCCTGCAGCCTTTTGGGGCTCAGGCCCAAGGGGGACCCTGGAGAAGCACCTGGGATCCAGCCCAGAGTTTGGTCAATGGTGCTAGAGTGAGAGGATGGCTTTGCTGAGACCCCAAAACATACATTGTATCCCCCCTGGGGAAGCTCAGAGTGCCACATTTTATCTAGGAAGCAACAGAAGGCGGGGGAAGCTCACTACTCACAAGAGGGGACCCCAGGGTTTGAATCCCAACAGATCCGACTCAAAGCCAATGCTTTTGCTCTCGTACTTTGACCACTAGTCTAAAGAGACACTCATTCAAAGAGCTGAGGCGGGCAGGGCCCATGAGAGCCATGGAGGCCATCAGGCCTTCAACACCAGGGCATCTCATCAACCCTGCAGAAGGTCCACTGAACCCTGAGCCAGCCTCTGTGCCATTCCCCTGCACTTCCCAGCCACCACCATGAACATGGCCCTCCTCCCACACAGGACAGACAGAAGGCCCCCTTGGGGCCCCTGGGTCACTCTCGGACCCAGTCCAACATAGAAACACTGACAGACTTCCAGTCTAGCCTGGGCGAGAGGAATCCTTTGGTTGTCATCTACAACTAAAGAGAGCTGAAAGTCCTGGTGGCCCTGGGGATGAGGCATGGAGGGTTCATAAACAGGGCCAGGGTTGAGGAGAAGGACAGAGTTGACAAACAGGTATGCAGCTGTGGGTCCCGTGGCTATCTGTTCCCCACTAGTTTTGTTTTTGTTTCTGGTCTTTTTGAGACAGGGTCTCCCTGTTGCCCCAGCTGGCCTGGAATTCACTATATAGACAAGATCTGCCTGCCTGTCACTGCTGAGTGCTGGAATTAAAGGCATGTGCCACCACGCCGGGCCCCTGTTCCCCACTTGTGAGGTACAGTTCTCCCCCTTCCAGAGCCTGGACAAGAACACACATTTGCATGTGTACACACCATCATGGGTTACACCTCCGAGGGGGTAAAACAAGGAAACTGAGGCCATCCTTACCTAACAAAGAGTATTAGCAAGCCCCACCCATGCACCCACAAACTGACAACACCCCCAGGGAGATGTGCTCATCATCAGCTCCCCACACATGTTGAGGGAACAGCCGAGCCTCCTGGTTACTATTGTTAGTAATAATACCACCCGGAATAGTATCAACCCCTTGCACATCTCTGAAGGTTTCTCCCCCTCATGAGGCTCCGCCCCGGCACTGACAATGGTCAAGGGCATGGGCAGAGGCAGTCTAGGAGCTGGGTGGGCAGAGGACTAGCCAGGAGACCTGGAAGGTAGGACACCTGGGTTTCCAAGGAGGCAGCCAAGCTTGGAGCTGTGCACTCCGGGGGAGAGGCAGCTCCCCAGAGCCGCTCCTGATGTGAAGTCAGTTGTCACTTCTGTTAAAGTCATTAATTCCTAATTCCCCAATTACCTCATTAGGCGGCGGTGGGGAGAACGCGGCCGCTCCTACAGCAAATAATTATGGGAGTCAAAATTAATTTGGCAAAGTGGAGCGACGCTTTATTAGAAACGTCAAATTGCTTTTCTCTTATTTTGCTGCCGCCTCCCCACTCTCTGAGAACTGCTAACGATGCTGTGGTGGGAGCCGATGTGTCACTGGGGGAGGAGGGGGCTTGGGGGCTGCCCCCAAAGGGCTATAAGCCCATCTGGTACCTAACTCCCCCTCAGTGCTGGTCTCTCTCGCGGGGCCCCACCCTTGCCAGACTTCCCCCTACCCTCTCTAGCACCCAGACTTTGCTCCTCTACAGCCTGGCACCAGGGAGAGCTTGAGGGAGGAAAACAGAGCCTCCCTTCTCCCAGCACAGGACCTCCTATCTTCCCCCTAACCCTGCAAGCTCAGAGCTGCACGGCACACATACAATGCCCAGGTGGTTGGTCACAGGTGACCAGGACACTGAATTCTCCTTACATCCTGGCTGAGGAGCACACAGTAAAGGCTCCCTGCCCTCTCTCTGTGCCACACACCTGGGGACACTGAAGCTCAGAGAGCAAGAAGGGGAAGGGCTGGGATTCAGACCCATACCATCTACTCCAAAGCCATGTACGGCCTTGCAGGGTATAAAGAGGAACAGCCATGAAGGACATGAGAAATGTGGTCACACCCAACCACACACAGGTGACTGGAGCCACAGCAAACAGCGCTCCCTGGGGAAACGAAAATGCAGAGCCCCCCACTCTGCCAGAGGCCACTGGTGGCAGGCCCTCTCTCCATCTCCCCCATTCACAGCCATCTTTCTTGACATAACAGTCACACACCCGCTCCACACTGCTGTCCACAGAGCACCATCTCTCTCCACACGCTGCCACACAGCCTCTGTCTCCCTGGAGCTCAGAACTTGCAGGCTCTTCCCTAGTCCTGGTCCCTGTCTCACTGCCTACACATTCCTCTATGCCCTTTCCCTACTGGGATGCCTGTCACTTGCCACTGCCACCCAGCCCTGCTCTCTGCCCACAGGATGCCTTCCCTGGCTTCCTTCCATCACACCTTGGTTGTTGAAGGGGTACAGGTCTTCGATCTAAAGAGCTGTTGTGTGGGAGGGGCAAGGAGCCCTGTCCCCACCCAGATGCGAGGGTCAGGGTCCACTTAGCTCTCCCTGCCGGTTTCTCTCCCCTCCAACTCTCCCCCCTCAAAATCCAGGCTCTCACCCAGACCTTTCCAAATGGCACTCAAGAGCCTGGACAGCCTGCTCCACCCTCACAGCTAGGGGCCCTTCAGGGTCAGGATGTGGGATGCATGCAGCAAAGCGAAGCAGAAAGGAGCCCAGTACAGAGGTGGAGGCTGAGGTCAGAGGCCAGAAGTTCAGACTGGAGAAGGGTGGGAGATACCTAAGCCCAGAAATGAAACCTGGCAAGGCTGGAGGTCACAGGGAAGAGAGTGAGGCAGACCATAAGTCACAAGGAAGAGTGTAGGACAGAGCCAGCAGTCACAGGGAAGGGGGTGGGGAAGGGCCAGAGGTCAGAGGGAAAGCCTTGGGGCAGACCAGAGGTCACCAGAAAGGGTGTGGGGCAGGCCAGAGATCACAAGGAAGGGAATGGGACAGATCAGAGGTCACAGGGAAGGGACTAGGACAGATCAGAGGTCACAGAGAAGGGAATAGGACAGATTAGAGGTCACAGGGATGGGGGTGGGACAGACCAGAGGTCACAGGGAAGGGGATGGGACAGACCAAAGGTTACAGGGAAGCTGGGGCAGGGCATGAAAGGCAAAGAGCCAGGAAGGATAAAGGGTATACTACCTACACACTAGAATTAGCCAGGTGAGTTCAGGACTTGTAGAAGGCCCAGAAAGAAGCATTAGAAAGGAACAGGGTTAAGAAAGGGAACCTGACAGGGATTGGATGGGTACCTGGGGGCAGGGCCTACAGACGGGCAGACTGGAGTGGGATCGGAGGTCAGAGTGGGGATTGGTGCTCAGGCAGGACATCAGTGAGGATCGAGCTTGCCCATAGTCTGTAGACAAGGCCCGGTCAAAGTCTGCTGGGAGGGTGAAAGTCATAGAAAGAGGGCAGAGCAGAATAAAGATGGGGGTTGAAGTTTAGACAGAGGGAAAGGTGGGTGCTGTTGGACGGGGAGGTGTGAAAAGAGGGGGCAAGGATAGGTTAGGACACAGTGACCTGCTCTGGGTGCCCTACAAGTGAGCAGGCAACAGCCCAGGGACACTGTGAAGGTGCAGACAGTAGACTGGCTGCCCGTGGAGGCCCTAGCCGGCCGGAAGACTCAGATGGTCTACAACTCAAATGGGTGGCTCTTGAGTCACCAGGAGAGGACAGATCTCAGAGGAACTTCTGAGAGGAGAGATGAGGGGGCTCTTGAGTACACCTTGGTGAGGGACGAACAATGAGGACCCAGGAGGTTTGGAGTCAGGACGGCAGGGTCTCAGGGCTGGGCCTGGGTCCTTACAATGTGCAGCTGTAGGTAGTCCCCAAGGCCGGAGGCACTGTCCACTCGCACCAGCACGGCACTCCGCTGGTGGGTGCTGAAGCCCACGGCCAGTCGGTCCATCCTCGTGCTGGGTCGGTCATTAGGGGGCCAGGTGTAGGTGATGAGTGCTCCCCCTTTCCCAAAGATGTATGTAGTCCCAGCTGCAGAGAAGGAAAACGAGAGGGAGAAATGTTAATGGGTCCTTGGGGTTGGTTGGGAGCAGGGCCTGAGGTCAGCAGGGTTAGGGAGCAGCTGAATGCTGCCCACAGCAACCACCAGCTCTGTAAGCCCAGGGAAAAGCTGGCAGGTGGGTGCCCCGGTGAGAGTTTGTGCATGCACACAGACAGATGTACCTGCCTCATGAAGAATTCCAGCTCCAATTACATCAAAACAGAGGTAATACAGCAACCCAGAGAGTGTGCCCAGAGAGAGGCTGCCAGGAGACCCAGACAGCAAGAGTGTCCTAAGCAGGAAGGGCAAGAGGGCTTGGAGGGGGGCGCTGCTTCTAACCATCTCAGCTTCTCCTAAGGATCACAGATTCAAGGTATGTGCTGCTTTGGGGCCAGAGCTGAGCAGCAAAGGCAAGAAGCCCTGAGTGGTGGTGGGAAGATGAACAGGGCTGTGGGCAGCTGTGACTCATGGCTCATCTCTGGCACCACGCCAATGCCTGCCCCATAGTCCCCTTCCAGCCCTCTGGGGCCCCTCTTGGTTTGTCCAGGGCTCCTTGCTTCCATCCTGAGGCAAGGGTACCTGGGTGCCAAAGCTGGGAGGCCTGGAACCCTGCCCAGAAAGGAGGAGACAGACATGGGGAGGAGGGGGAGGGTTTGACAGCCAGAGGAGGAAGGAGGCAGAAAGACAGATGGACAGAGAAGGACAGAGAGGGACGTAGGTATTAGAAGCAGAGAGTGGGAGCCTGAGATGTAGACTCCCTCTCCCAGCCCTCCCCCACCCCACCCTCTCTCCTCTTCGCCATCCGGCTGCTGGGGGCGGGTGTGAGGTCCCTAACGATCTCAGCACCAAAATAAACCCCATTAGTCGCCATGTTCCCTCCTGCGGCTGACTGAGCTCCCTGGGGGTGGAGGTGGGGGGGGGGGACTGGTCACCCAGTTTCCGGGAAGGGAGTCTTGTCTGGGGAGGCATGGAGGACTAGGGCTTTGGGGCCTGTAGGAGAAAGGGGAAAGGAAGAGAACAATCTTGCATTCTTTAAAGACATACATGGAGCAGATGAGATTCATAAAATGTTTAATTAAATCATTAGCCACTAACAACTCCTCTCAAGGCACTTCTTAGGGGGAGAGGGGTTCAAGTGAAGACTTAGTCAGATTGAAAGAGTTACAAATGGGACCTGAGGGCAAAAGCCTGGAGCTGCAGAAACACAATGGTAGAGAGCTATGGTCTGGGAGCAGCAGGGACCTGGGGGTCTCACCCAGAGCCCCCTTGTAGTCTGGGCAGTCTGATAGAGAAGGGGGCTCTGTTCCAGAGAATTCCAGGCCCCCACAGAAGAGAGGGAGGCACCCACCAAGGGTGGGAGGTTTGGAAAGGGAGGGAAAGCTGTTGTCTGGGTCTCAGATGTAGTGGGGCCTACAGGGAGTTAGAGCTGAGCAAACCAGTGTTCCCCTTCTGCTGCCCAGAGCACTTGCTGTATGTCTTCCACCTCCCAGACAGGCCCAGTGTAAAAAGGGACCACAGGGGCATGACACACAGGGAAAACCGCCTGAATGTCTAAGACTGACATCTCCATGGGAGCCGGAGAAGCACCCCCAGTAGACAGAGGGAACCGCTGCAGGTGCAGGTGTCTTTCTACCTCAGGAGGAGGCAGTGAGGAAGGCTGAACCTTCAGGACTGGCTTCAAGTTTAGGGTGCAGAGCTGGCTCCTGAGAGGGGTACACAATGAACCCCACTTCTACCCAGTGCAAGTTACCTGCCTGGAAAGGGCAGGGCCTGGAGGCCAGAACCAAGCGGCTGTGCCTTAGCTGTGCAGTCTCTCCACCACTTCCCAACACTGCAGCACTCCGGAAAATCGGCTGTTTCCATGGCAACCATAATACCCAGGGCCCTCCCTCTCCCCTCCACTGACAAGATTGCACGTCGAATTTGGGGGGTGGGGAGGACAGGGGGAGCAGAGATGTTGACCTCCCTCCACACACTCAGCCTCTTCACCCCTGGGCCCCGGGCCTCCCAGGAAGAGGTGGATTTTACTGGGCTCCTTGGTTCACCAGGGAAGGAAACCCCATCTACCTGGAGTCTGCCCCCCCAATCTTCCAGGTCTAGGTTGATGAAGGCCCTTCCTCTTCACCACCACCCCCGCCAAGCCCCCCCACCCCCGCACCGCTGGATCCCAGACAGCCTTCTCATCACCATGGACAGCGCCCTGCCTGTGCCCAGGGCAGGAGGAGTGGTAGGCCTGATGCCTACTTGGGCAGGGATGCAGGAGGAATCAGAGATGCATGCCCACAACCCAAGTCCCAGGCCTTCCAAGCAGACACATCTCCAAGTGACTGCACACCGAGACCCCCACACCCACGCACGGGCGGCCACACACAAAAGCCCAGCGTGAAGAAGTAGACCCCACGATTGGAGACCCGGCAGTCAGGAAAACATGGCGGTAAACGCACAAAGACAGGCTCTCCGCGGGCGGCCAAGGGCAGGGGCCCGCGAGGTGCGGGCTGGGCGGCCGCGCCCCAGTCTCCCCACTCGCCAACCCCGGCCTCCTCCAGGATTTATGGTCCAGCTGTTCTCACACTGCATCCAGTTTATTGTGCTGGGCGGACCTGTTAAAGCCTAAGGGCTTTTATTACGCTGTGGGGGGACCCGGGTGGAGAGACACTTCTTGGGCAGAAGAGGGTAAGGATGAATGGTTTATTGGGCTGGGGCGGCAGTAATTACCCTGGGGAGACATTTATCTCCCCAGCACCTCGCTCCCGCGCGCGGGCGCAGAGGGCTCGGCTAGGGAGGAGGTCTGAGGAGGAGAAGGCGGGGCCTCCGTCAGGTCCCGCCCCTCGGGCCGGGCTCCGGCAGTGCCTCCTGCTGCTGTTCAACCCTCCCAGCTGTCCTCTGCCCTGCCCCTGGACAAATCCAGAAAGCCACCGCAGCCTTGGTACCCAGGACAGCACTCCACATCTAGAACTCCTGACAGAATCCAAAAGTTCTGCAGAGACAAAGGGGCCTAAAGCAAGACCCCGGGGCTGCCCAAGGTTAGTGTTGACCGGTTGTTCTTGACTTCCTAAGAAATAGGAGCTGAACTGTGCATAGCATGTCCACCAGTCCCACAACCCCGCAGCCCAAGGCAAGGCACAAGATGCCCACAAGGCCTAAGGTTGGCACCCTCTGCCCACAGCCAATGCAGTCTCACCAATGCCTCCTAGACCCAGAAATTCACAGATCCAAGAAAACACTCCAAATGATCACCCCACCCCTGCCACACCTGTTTTCTAGAGGAAAAAAAAAAATCAACCATTAACAATGGTTAGGGAACCAGATTCACAACATAGTCATTCCAGGGGAAAAATCACCGGTGTAGTCCTGCCCCGGGGCTGAAACACCTGCGGATGCTCTGCCTGCTTCCCAGCAGAATCAGAAGCTATGACAGAAGTCTTATGGGAACTCTAGAATGGTCAGAAAATGAAGTTCCTGCACAATCCAGAAAAGCCTAGTGCTTACTGCCAACACCGGATCTTCCCAGGAAGACCTCCACAGCCATGGAATGGGGCTTCTGCACACACCCAGACCCCTGAGCTCACCTCTCTCTTCATCTGGAAATCCAAAAGGCATCTCAACTCTTCATCCCATTCCTGGCCATACACTACCCAGTCTCAAATCCAAGTTAACAGACCCATCTACAGAATCAAAATGCATGCTGGCCCACTTCATCCACTAGAAGAATAAATCCAGAAGCCTTGCAGCAACTGACTCAGAACTGGACTGGGATTGAGCCCTCTCCCTTTGCTGGATCCTGAAGGAGCCAGAGATGAAGACTGGGAACTGGGAACTCCTTAAGGACCCTGAAACTGAACTGGGGGAGGCGGGGTCAACCACCAGGAGGGTTGTTGAGGTCCCAGGTGTGCTGCTCACCCCTTGCCCCACAGTGATATCAGGTGGAGGGGTGTCGCTGGTGTTTGACAGGTGGGGAGGGACATTATGTAATGGGGGATGGGAGAGGAAGTGGGGAAACAGAGGGAGGGAGAAAAGGCCAAGCAGACACTCTGGGGAACAGAGGAGCAGGTGTCAATGAAGAGAGTTGCCCTCACACTAGTGAGCCTTCCAGCTGGAGGAAGCCTGGTCTGCCTCCAGCCCACACAGGAGTCCCAGGGGAAGCTGAATCTCTCATCTCTCCCTAAGTTAAGAGGAGAAGAGGTGGGTCAGCCATGACAGGTGGCCTCTTCCTTCCTTAGCCCCTTCCTTCCTCCCACTATCTCAACCTTCACAGGTTCCCCTGCCCCACCTCAGATTCTTCCATCAGTGTCCCATGCGGCCCTCCAGCTCCTCCTCTATTACCCTCCACCCTGGGTGGTAGTCACTGGCCCTCTTTCTCCTCTGCCCAAGTGGAGGGCAGCCACCCCTGAGCAATGGTGATTCCACAGCTCCTTCAGCGCCCCCACCTCTGTCAGCCTGTGTCCCTGTAGCATTGGGGGCCATGACAAGAACCTTCTGAGAGATCTAGAATTGTACAGGGATAAATCATTCTGTGCCATCCTGGAGAGCCTGGATCCTGGCTCTCTCCCTCTGCCTGGCTCCAGCTCCTTGACTGTGGGCACTCCGGGTCCTGAGCCCTCCTCCCTACTGCCCATCATCCCTGGGCCAGCACCTCTCTCCTTTGCAATCCTCTGTCGTTTCCATACCCTTCACGCGGCAAGGCTCCCCTCCAGTGCACCTGGCCCCCTTTCCATCTCTCTCTTTATGCCTTGACTCTTTGTCCAGAAAGACCATGGCTTCTCTGAGAGTCTTTGGGAGAGAGGCAGTGGGCTTGGGGGTGGTGAAGGTTGGAGGAAGAGGACAGTGAGGAGGGCCGGGGGGTGAGGAGGGCCAAAAAGAAAGGTCCTGAGGAGGCAGAAAGAGTTGAGATAAGGAGCAAAGTGTGGATCAAGGAAGTGGAAGAAGAGAAACTGGAGCACAGGGATGGCAGCTGGGACTGAGATTAGGCAGGGAAACCAGGGGAAGGCAA